GAAAGACTCAGCCTCTCTGAGATGTTCTTTTATCAATCATGTTATTGACCTGTTAGCAATCAACCACCAGGTGCTTTTTTTGAAATTACACAACTTTACCTGCCTTTTGTTGCTCTTGTCCCAACTTTTTTGGAATATGTTGCTGCTATCAAATTCAAAATGGGCATACATTAAAAAATAATAACATTTCTATGTTTCAACATTTGATATGTTGTCTTTTGTAGTATTTTCAATTAAATATAGGGTTTGAATGATTTGCACATCATTGCATTTTGTTTTTTTTATTTACATTTTGCACAGCATCCCAACTTTTTTTAGAAAAAGTTGTATTAATTAGAATCTCAGCTTTCAAAGTACTGCCCACAAAAAAAAAATATAGCTAACGCAAGATAACAAACATTTCATCTACATATTTAAAATAGAGTAATATTAAGAACAATAGCGAAACTTTTACAAAATAAAAGTATTATGGTAAATGTGGTGTTATTAATTAGACTGCTGCTTGTTTTGTATTTGTCTTCATACTCTGAAGTATGAGTTGCCTAGTAGAAGAAATGAATAAAACAATCGAGCCGTTCTATCCCTCTTCTCAGCTCTACACTCTGCTTCAGGTCCCTGCTCTGGAGGTTCAACCAAATGGTCATCATCAGCCCCTTCTGACTGTATACCAGAAAATGGAGCACCACCTTGCTTTTAATACTCCAAATGCTCTCTCCACACTACTTCTGGCTTAGGATAGGTGGTGGTTAAACTGCTCGTTGTAGGTTGTGTAGTGGCTGTCGGCCAGCCCATCACAGGGCAGACACACAGACATATGCATTTACACACACACCCTAGGGGCAATTTGGCATCTACGGTTTGTCTGACTGCATGTCTTTGGACTGTATGAAGAAACCCACGCAGACATGGTGAAAACATGCAAAACTCTAGAAATGTTAATATTTTGAGTACTATCCTGCCAAACTCATGTTGTTAATGATATATACTGTATAGTGTTAGTGTGTAGTACACAACTGGTACGCAGCGACTGGCAGAAGTAGATAAGACCATGGACATTTACATCCCAAGGTTCTGGCTGGCTAGTTTGCTCTCTGACATGTTATAGTTGGGCCGTGGTAGTAATCTGGTATTATTAGTTTAAACTTTTACAGTTATACTCCATAGCGAATCCCCATTACGATACAGTGACAGTAGTAATCTGCTCAAATTAAGTTAACTTACTCTGACTGGTGAATATTTATGCTACATATAATTTAAAAGTGTAAATGGCTCTGTCTTGTTTGGGTGTCCTCTAGAAACATCTTGGTTGTGTTGTAACTGCCTTATCAACATTTCTGAAGTTGCTTGTGTTTATTATATTTGTAGCATGTTTGTGAAAAGAAGTGTTCATGTTCCCATTTTGATGAAAGTGTTTTCTGCGTTTGCAATTTGTTGGGTCTTCTCAGCCACCATAGCTTCTTTTACAGCTTTTTCCACCTCCCTGAGAAAGTGGCAGGCTTTAGAAGGCTGGAGCATCTGAACTGAAATGAACAGTTACTCCATCTATCTGAGAGCAGTGCCAGAATCTCCTAAACCCTAAAAGCATTCTGTTATAAAGATTAGGTAAAAATAGAGAAATAATATCAGAATTTACAATGAGTGAATATATAAGTACACAGAAGAACAATAGGAATAGAAATTCGGCAGGAAAAGTCAGGAGACTGGAGATTCAGTGTTGACTAATTTATTTACACATATAGAGAGTCATGTATGGGTACAGCGTGATCGATCAACAGTCAATCAGCAGTGTCAGTGTTGTCTAGTGTAAAAAGAAGTATTTGGGGGGGACCTTATATACATTGAAAATATTGGGCCCTTGTCTTGTTGGATCTCAGTAGCTAAAGAGGGTTAAAGCTTTTATAGTGTTACGTAAATTAGTCCAGCATGACATTAATAAAAAATTTGAAATACATGAGAAATGCCCATTTATAGATTGTGTGATGCAACACTAAAGAGAAGACAACACAATGAATTTCAAAAGAAGAATACATTAAAAAATTTAGTAGAAAAAAATCAGGACTACAGGAACATGTAAAAGAAATATTATTGAAATAATCAAAATAGATAAATGGTAAAAAATAAATTCAAGTTAACACATTCGTACAAACGCAAATGCTTTATTAAACAAAGGAATTTAGCAGGAGAAAGAGACTATGTCGGGTGAGAGCACCTGCAAGTGTCTTCTCCCCCTAACACAAACTTAGGCCCAATTCCATTTTTTATTTTTATGCCTAATTTTTATTTTTTAGCATCACCTTGCCACTTGAAACTGAGTTGCAAGGTAGTGGTTGAAATCCTTCTGTATGAAATGGGACAACCCTCAAACAAAAAAATTGCGAATTTTCATGCTTGTTATGAAAAAAATGATGATGATGCATTGAAACAACATTAAACTAAGATGATACAGCGGTTACCATCATTTCATTTTTACCAGAGAAAACTTTCACATTTGTTGGTTTCTTTGGTCTCCTGCACGGTTTGGAGGGCCATATGGTCCCTATGATGGAAGGCTAAGTGATGGGTGCAAGAGGTGAAATGGGATTGGGCCTTAGTCAAAGTCATTATATTTTAATGCAAATGAAATGTAAATGTAATAAATTTGCAGAGAATTGCATACACATATCGATTTATCATTACAAATCTGTGGAGAAGGTGGTGTGGCCGAACGCCGAATGCAGGACAGAGAAGCCGGTCTGGTTGAACCAGCAGGCTAAGTAGCTGCTGATGTTCACCTGTGCCTTGTTTCTGCCAGCCTACTTATAGTCATCTCATCCCTTCATAGGTGATAGAACCCAGAGAGAGAAGGAGACCTGTGAAGGCATGAGAGCCGAGCCGAACTGAACTGAGCTAAGCAGAGCTAGAAAGAAAAAGGAAAGAAAGGACTAAAAAGTCCCAGTGAGTGTCTTGTCTTACTTTTTGGGCTGAAAAGCTGAGTGTTTTTTGTGTTGTGTATAAATCATAGTCCTCAACAAAAATACTTAGCATACTTAGCAACAAGCATTAACTAGTTAATATGTCAACTACAAAATCAAACTACCGAATCAACTACAGAATCAAAAACTGAAAAGTTCACCGGCCAACAAATTATTCACCTGTGACTGAAACGTATCTAATTGCATGTCATATCTCCACAAGCACAAATTACAGCTGTGATTTAATCTGGCATGGACTGGAAAAGTTTCTGGATGTAAGCATGACTTCAATGTTCAACCACTCTCGCATCAAAGAATTGCGCAGTTAGGCCAGATTTCGTGGATGCCTTTCCTGGCATATTACTCATTCAAGGTAGTTCCACAGATTTTCAAATGGATTCAAATCTGGGGATTTTGCAGGCCAGTCCAGATGTGTGAATACTCCTGAATGTTCATCATGCCAATCAGTCACATTTGCAGCCCTGTGAACATGTAAATTTTCATCTTGGAATACAGGGATATGTTATGTTTTTCTCTAAGGCGATGAGCAAAAGGCAAAACCTGGTTTTTCAGCAGCTCACCTCAACCAAAGGACTCATTTTCGCATAATTACAACACCCCCAGAACATCACCGAGCATCCTCCAGCTTGAACCACACCTTACACACAGTCTTCATTGAAGGCTTCCTGAAGTCTATGATGAATAACATGCTTAGCATCCTTCATATGCAGGCAGAAACATGATTAATCTGACCAGATAACAGGTTTCCAGTTGTGAACAGTCCAGTTTTTGTGTCTCTTCACCAACTGTAACCAGGCAACACTTGCATGCCACTCTGCTCCATATGTTCATGGTATGCAGTTCCCTGTGCTGTGGAGCGTTCTTTCAGAAATTGGTTGTGAAGGACCTGCATTGACTTCTATAAGCAATTCTTGCCTGGAAGCGAAGCGAATTTTATTCACAAGCTGTGAAATCCGCCGGCTTTCCCTATCTGTCATGTTCCATTTTTCAGCCACAAATCTGACAAGAATTTCCTGAAGACTAGAATTTTTGCCACTGCTGACAGACCCGTATGACCATACACTTTGATACACCTGCAAATTAATTTCCTTCATACTATGGCCTTTGGCACGTGTAAATGCAATCAGTCCTTTTTGCCAATCATTAGCATCTGCTTTGCGACCCATCTTCCACACATCAAACAAGACATTCCCTGCACTATACCACCTCTTCTCAATCTACGCATCCCGTGTGTGTGTGGAGGAAGCCTGTGTTAGCCTTCACCCTCCTAGCGTTGATAGCATCGTGTGATTGGGGGAGTCCTAACTAGCGGGTGGAATTGGAGACGAGTAAATTGGGGAGAAAAATCGGGTAAAAATTAAAACCTGGAAGGTAACAGATTTTTTGTCCAGGGACCTTATTTTTCAAAGCATCAAGCTTCAATCTAAAACATTTATTAGCTTAAATATACTAAATTTGAAAATGAACCTTATTAAATGTGAAGCGTCTGGAGTTCCAGAGTGGGTGTATGAACAGTTTTCTTGACTTTTAAGATTATATTTTATTATATGCTTATATTTTAGAAACAGCATAAAATTAAAATAGGTGGTTTCCCCTAAAAGCAATCTGAAATTAGGGCTGGAAGCACCATTCCCTGTAGACGTATACTGCCAGAATGTGTTAAGGTAACACTCAGTGCTGCCCATTTTCACCACTGCTTTTGATACATTTGTGTGTCTTCACAGTCTTTGAATAACTGAAAGTCTTTCCACACTCTGAGCAGTAAAACGGCTTCTCTCCTGTGTGAACGCGCTGGTGATCTTGGAGATAACGCCGTTGACGGAAACTCTTCCCACACTCTGAGCAGTGATACGGCTTCTCTCCTGTGTGAATACTCTGGTGATCTTGGAGATAACGCTGTCGAGTGAAACTCTTCCCACACTCTGAGCAGTGATACGGCTTCTCTCCTGTGTGAATGCGCAGGTGTTGTTGGAGAGAAATCCATTCAGTGAAACCGTTCCCACACTCAGAGCAGTAATACGATTTAACTCCTGTGTGAATGCGTTGGTGTCTTTTAAGTTTACTCTTTTCAGTGAAACTCTTTCCACACTCTGAGCAGTGATACGGCTTTTCTCCAGTGTGAATACGCCGGTGATTTTTAAGATGATTCAATTCAGTAAATTTCTTTCCACACTCTGAGCAGTGATACGGCTTCTCTCCTGTGTGAACACGCTGGTGTGTTGTAAAATAACTCTGATGAAGAAAACTCTTCCCACAGTCTGAGCAGTGATACGGCTTAACTCCTGTGTGAATGCGCTGGTGTCTTTTGAGATTACTCCGTAGAGTAAAAGCCTGTCCACACTCCGAGCAGTAGTGAGGTCTTTCCTTGGTGCATTTCTTTGTTTGTCTGTGAGATGCATTCATGTGGAGGATATCAGATGATGATGATGATGATGATGATGTTTGCTGAGTATCAGAATGTACTGTGGATGCCATTTTTTATGTACTTGTTTCACAATCTTAATGTTTCTCTTGGTGAAATCTCCTGACGTGTTTACAAAAGCACATTTAAGCTGGGCAGGAAAGTGCAGAACAAGACTTGAAACAGGGCATCATTCATGTCTGGAAAAAGAAAAAAAAAGACAACCCAAACTCAATGTGAAATGCAGCAAAACGTAGTCTGCTCCAAATCATGAATGCTCCACTTACATCAACTATAAAAATAAACTTACACCTATTGTGGAAAAGCCAACCATGCAAACTCTTTAAATAGACATATGTACCACTGAATTTGTGTGGTCATGCTGATACTGGAAACTCTGGGGCTAAGCTAGACTTCTCTATGAACCGCCAACATCATGTCCTGTGGTTGACAGATTGATTCCCAACATTTTTTTCTATGTGCATTTTCCCATTGAATGTTACTGGTATCTGCTTTACAAGGCCATTATGACTTTAGCTATATGTCCTTTTGCTAAGATTTTAAAGCTCATTTGAATCATACAGCCTTAATTCCAGTCATGTAGACCATTTTAGAGCACAAATATGTGATTCAAACCTTTTAGAGTCATTACACTTCACAGCCATGGGCTCTTCTAAACAGCTGAGTGAGGATCTGAAACTATGGACAGTTGATGCTTACAAAGCCAGAAAGGAATATAAAATATCAGAAAACGTCCTGCCTATAAACTTTGAAATTGCATTAAGCAAAGTTTTGACTGAAGCCAAGGCAAATACCTGGATTCCACAGGTATTTCCGTATGTATGTATATACAGTCACTATAATAGACCCCCCATCATTCATAGCCTTTCAACTGTGGTCACAATTTCTTAAACCTTCAAATTTCATGAGGCAGAGTTTGATTGTTGTATAAGCATTTAAGCTTAAAAAAAAAAAATCTGAACAAAATATGAACAAACATCATCTAGAAGATGAAGAATGTTCAAATCCTTTATTTCGTGTTTCTGCGCCGCTCTAACAATGTTTTGCTGAGTCTCACATCACCTGCCTGTTCCCGCGCATGCGCGGACTGAGAAAACCAATAGAAATCGGAGTACGGGTTTACATTCACTGAGAAATCTGATTACTGAGCTAAAATCCAACTCTCTTTATCGGATTTCTAGATCAGAGTATGGTGTTCACATGACCATTTGAATAATCAGATAACTGCAGAAATCAGATTATGATCTTATGAACTTGCCAAATAAAGCAGAGTGAAACTGTTCTATATCTGCCAAACCCAAAACATCAACCAAATCTTCTGGCCCAGCAACTCACATTACTCGGCTCTGGTTTCAATGAAGCTGCTTCTGCGCGTCTAATCTAATTTTAAAGCCATCAGATCTCATTTTCAGATGTGTTTCCAGCTGTTTGTCTCAAGAGTGAATGAAGAATAGTGAGTGTTAAAGCATCGGACAGATTCCTACCTTCAACAGTTCAGCCCTAGTTTCTGTTCGTCCAACAACACTGCCTGCACAACAATACAATCTTCTGCTTCTCCACTTTAGTGCAGTTGGACACATTTAGAGTAACAGAATTAGCGCCACCACCTGGCCTGAAGCTGCTTTAGGTTATTTTAAATCCCACCCATATTTAGTCAAGCCCCACCTCGAGCACTCTAATTAGATTCATGCATACCTACAAGTGAAACACAACACCTTTAAGAATTGGTAAGTTTACAAGGCATGATACACTACATTCTGGCTAAACACATGATAATGCATATTATATTATATAAACTGTCAAATTATTTACTGTTCAGCTTCGTTCACCCATTTCATTTAGTCCCTGCAGGTTTAGCTCAGTTAATGCTGTATTAATGACGACAAGATAAATCTGAAAACAACTGCTTTAATTGCGTTACGGAAATATACAGAACTTGCACGCAGGTGCATGGATAAATTATCAGTTACTATATACCAATAAACATTGAACATCCCCAAATGATAACCTGGATAGACTGGAGATGTGCATAAACAAGTCTTTATCTGATGTCACGGCACCTTTCTGAAGGAACATTCATTCTCCCGGCATCACAAGGAACATCAACAGTCCTTAAAGACTCTGAAAAGAGTAATGGGAACTTTTTGAGCTGTAGTTTGTTCTGTATATGACTTTATGATGCATACGACAGGCCTGCGTAGACCATACTGGGGAGAGGTGATCAGTACAGCGGCTTGATGTCTTGCAGTCTTTCATGCTCCTGTTTCTTCTTTTCAAAGCTGTTCAGTTCTGTCCAGCACAGCAACAACTTCATTGTTGCAGTCTTCAGGGTCATATCTCCTTCATCACTGTCCTCAACAAGAATACTCAACATATAGAAAACATTACAAGGGAAGAGAAAATGGCACCTTCATAGAAATAAGCATTAACTAGCTAATATGTAAAATTTAGAAAATCAAAAGAGAACCTTAAGCACAATGAACATTTTTTTTTCAAAACATCAAATATTGCATCTGAAACACTTCATTAGATATACTAAATTTGAAATTTGAACAACGTTGTGAATGTGGAGCTTCTTGTTGTGAACATATATTACAAACATAATTTGTATTTTAAGGAAACAATGCACTATCTCACCTTTCCATTGTGTGTATGAGCTGTAGGTTAGACCTGGTGTTTAGCACAGGAAATTATATTTCATTTTATGCTTATATTTTAGAAACAGAATAAAACAAGAATTGATGGTTGCCCTAAAAAACAATTTGAAATGAGGGCTGGAAACACAGTTCCCTGTTATCTCCCGGAACGTGTTAAGGGTACATTCACTACTGGCCACTTCCACCAATGTTTTTTGTGCACTTGTGTATCTTCACAGTCCTTGAAAGCCTGAAACTCTTCCCACACTCTGAGCAGTGATACGGCTTCTCTCCTGTGTGAATGCGCTGGTGCTCTTGGAGATAACGCTGTCGAGTGAAACTCTTCCCACACTCTGAGCAGTGATACGGCTTCTCTCCTGTGTGAATGCGCTGGTGTTGTTGGAGAGAAATCCATTCAGTGAAACCATTCCCACACTCTGAGCAGTAATATGATTTAATTCCTGTGTGAATGCGTTGGTGTTTTGTAAGTTTACTCTTTTCAGTGAAGCTCTTGCCACACTCTGAGCAGTGATACGGCTTCTCTCCTGTGTGAATGCGCTGGTGATTTCTAAGATGACTCGATTCAGTAAAACTCTTTCCACACTCTGAGCAGTGATACGGCTTCTCTCCTGTGTGAATGCGCTGGTGTGTTTTAAAATAACTCTGATGATGAAAACTTTTCCCACACTCTGAGCAGTGATACGGCTTCTCTCCTGTGTGAATGCGCTGGTGTCTTGTGAGATGACTCTTTAGAGTAAAAGCCTTTCCACACTCCAAGCAGTAGTGAGGTCTTTCCTTGGTGCATTTCTTTGTTTGTCTCTGAGATGTATTTATGTGGAGGATATCAGAGGATGTTTGCTGAGTATCAGAATGTGCTGTGGATGCCATATTTTTATATTTAATTGTTTCACAATCTTAATGTTTCTCTTGGTGAAATCTCCTGATGTGTTTACAAAAGCACATTTAAGCTGGGCAGGAAAGTGCAGAACAAGACTTGAAACAGGGCATCATTCATGTCTGGAAAAAGAAAAAAAGACAAACTAAACTCAATGTGAAATGCAGTAAAAGTAGTCTGATCCAAATCATGATTGCAGACTGGCCAGGTGTGCAAAGTAACACCCCACCTCACTGCTAAAGACCTGCAGGAATATTTGGCTGGCATGGGAATAGTAAAAAAACTGGCCTGCTGTGCAGTGCTTGTCTCACAAATAATTAAATAAGCTCTTAGATAAACCAGAAGCATTTTTTAATCAAGTACTGTGGTCTCATGAATTAAAAACTGAACTCTTTCGCTAAAACAACCATTCACTGTGCAGACACACACTATTATTATTATTATTATTTTATTTTACTTTTTTTTACCAATACATTACATTTAGCAAATAAATTGTAATTGTGAGCTTGCATTTAAATTTGTAAAACTGATCTTATTTAAAAAAAACAAATTTTGTTTAAAAAAAAAGGAACAAAACATGTTATTTGATTTGATTGAAATACCGTGGCTATACAATGAGGAAGTGCATGTTGTCATTTTTAGCAGTTTCTCCTGCCAGTCTTGAAAGGCTTTAATTAACTGTTCTCCCCTGCCACAACACATGAAGTTTCAATTCTAAATAAATCCTCTCATAGGCTGTGAACCCTTCAAATAGCCAAAAACCTCAGAAACAAAATTATCCTCTATTGCACACTGTATTTAATCAATCATAGTTAACACGGCTAACATCAAGTATTTGTTTTAGAGGGTATAACATACGTGAGAAACAGACTGGAAGTGGGTTCCTTTGTCTGCACATAATTTTCCTGCACATCATCTTAGGCTCTGAAATGCTTCTTTAGAAAACCATTTGTAAATAAAAGCTATGTATTACATATCAGCATTAGCAGATATGTACATGAATAATTTTGATTGGTCCGTAACAAAAATGGAATTTCAAACATGGCATATTGAGCTAGTGCATTTTAAGGTGGCTTTTATTGTGTGTTAATTTATGTTCTACTGAAGAACCAGCAGACTACATACTATGCCGGTTGGTTGGGCTTGAAACTCTGCAAAATCAAAATCAGACATTTAAATACAAAATATCAAAAATTCAGTTAAATCTTAACTTTAAATATGTTTGTGTATAATTATACCTCTAGTGTGTACAGTATAACTGTGTTAAAGGTTCCTTCAATTGAGGGGATTCAACGCAGTCAGGACCATACAATGTCAAATTAGACTGGAATAGTATTTAATAGTATAAATTAAACTGTTTCTGGTCATTATGCAATGAATAAACAATGTATTTTTTCAGTTGTAGGGCCTGTAACAAACCACAGCATCGGTATGTGAGCTTCTGTGCTACTGAAACAAATTCTTTGTAAAAATGTTTGGCCAATAGCCTGACTTTTATTCTGACAAAACTGTTGCATGAGGCATCAATCTGCAATATCGAGGTATTAAAACTGTCATTAATTTCAAAATAAAGACATTCCTGTCAATCCAGCACGAACACACACATACACCCTTTTGTGCACTTACCCAACTTCCAATTCTGTACTGAAAATCAGTCCCTGAATCTGAGAATCTCAGTCTCTGAATTTGTGTCTGTGGGAAATATAAATCACAATTCACCTCACAAACTTCATATCGCGGCTTTTTAAAAAACATCGCAATACCTTAACTGAAAATATGAATTTACATCATTTAGAAGATGAAGAATGTTCAAATCCTTAGTTCGTGTTTGGTTTCAGCGCCGCTTTTGCGCATGCGCAGACTGAGAAATCCGATAGAAATCGGTGTACGAGTTTACATGCACTGAGAAATCTGATTACTGAGCTAAAATCTGTCTTTATCGGATTTCTAGATCGGAGTATGGTGTTCACATGACCACTTGAATAATCAGATAACAGCAGAAATCAGATTATGATCTTATGAACTTGCCAAATAAAGAAGAGTGAAACTGTTCTATATCTGCCAAACTCAAAACATCAACCAAATCTTCTGGCCCAGCAGCTCACATTACTCGGATCTGGTTTCAATGAAGCTGCTTCTGTGCGTCTGATTTATTTTAAAGCCATCAGATCTTATTCTCAGAACTCAGATGTGTTTCCAGCTGTTTGTCTCAGTGAATGAAGAACAATGAGTGTTAAAGCATCGGACAGATTCTTACCTTCAACAGTTCAGCCCAGGTTTCTGTTCGTCCAACAACACTGCCTGCACAACAATACAATCTTCTGCTTCTCCACTTTAGTGCATTTGGAGACATTTAGAGTAAAAAACAGCGCCATCACTTGGTCTGAAGTGGCTTTACGTTTTTTAAAATCCCACCCTTGTTCAGTCAAGCCCCGTTTCCAGCGCTCTGATTGGGTAACCGCATATATTCTACTTGGTTTTATGCAGCATCGAGATGCTAATTAAAAACCAAATACTTTAAATTATTGTTGTAAATAAACTTTCATGCAAAAAGACGACCAGCAACAAACACACATTTTTCAAAACTGTAACTGTTCATAACTGGGCAGGATGTAAAACAGCCTTTTTAGAATACGCCTGACACACTTTATCATAATACCATCACCTTAATCCTATAAAAAAACAGATCATGTAACATCACTTTAAGAAAGTTTAAAGAACATTAACATATTTTTAGTAAGCACTAAATAGATTTACAGACAAATTTAAATTTAGTGTCATTATTTTGCTAATTAGCCAGTCAAGGCTAGCAGGGTTTGCTAAAAAAGCTTCCTACAGAGGAATAGCAGTGAAATGTGATTGTTTTAGGAATCTTCTTTAAATATGCCAGTGAACGAATCAGTAACTATAACTAACCATACTAGTGGCTGAAATACATCAGAGTTAAATTTTCATTTAAAAATCTGCATTGGCTGAGTGAAATATACCAGTAACTGAGTGAAATACGGTATTAACTGAGACAAATCTGCAGTGACTGAGTGAAACAGGTGAACAAAACTGAACAATGAATCATCTGCCACAGTTTTTAGAATATAATGTGCATTACGTGTTAAGCCAGTATGTACTGCTTAGCACTGCAGTGATATTAACATGGTAGTATGTGTGGTGTTGCATAAAGCATATAATACGGCTGGGGTTGCTGGGGTATTCGGACACCTCAGTGTCTTTGCAGGATGAAGAATAGTCCACCAACTAAAAATATCTAGCCAGCAGCATCCTGTGGGCAGCGTCCTGTGACCACTGAAGGATGACCACTAGAGGATGACCAGCACAAACTGGGTAGCAACAGAGAGCTTTTGTCTCTGACTTTACATCTACAAGGTTACCCAACAAGGTAGAAGTGTCTAATAGAGTGGACTGTGGGTGGACACAGTGTTTAAAAACACCAGCAGCACTTCTGTGTCTGATCCACTCAGACCAGCACAACACACACTAACACACCACCACCACGTCAGTGTTAGTGCAGTGCTGAGAATGATCCACCTTCCGAATAATACTTGCTCTGTGGTGGTCCTGACCATTGATGAAGCAAAGGGGCAAACACATTATACTGTGAAACAGATGGACTACAAGTCTATTATTATTTACGCTTTGAAGAGTGGCAGGAAACTTTAGAAAATGGGTGCTGTACCTCGCCGTTTGTCCTGGAACAACTGGGGATGACTAGATGTCTCGGGAATCTCCCTTTGACTGCACTAGTACTCATGTTGGAGCGAACATTCATGGAGAGCGCGCTGCTGTGCAGGCTAATTAAGTTTCTACTGTGGATGAAGTGGATGAGGTTCAAACCACAACTACTACGTGGCAAGTATATGCAAATAATTTTTTGCTTTAATGCAGTGTTTTAAATCATCCACTATTTTTTTTTAATTATTTTAGCGAACATTATTTTAGTTTACATTGAACCTCTTTGCAGTGAAGCTGCAAGTCTGATGTAGCTAGCTAGCTAGTTCATCTACTGTAGTGTGTATGCCCCACTTCCTTGTTTACTACACTAGCATTGTGGCTCCACTACAAAACTGAATAAGCAAACTTTGGACACCATAAATATTTTGTATTATTTATGTAGAGAAAGGCAAAGAAATTGTGTATTCATTCTCTGACATTTTGCTTCCCGCTACACATGGACATGTATACACTAAGTTTCTCAGAATAGGACTGTTGATTCAGGATTAGAGTAAAATCATAGTAAATGAGAAAGAAACCTGATCCCAAATCTGCACTCTTACTCTGAGAAGCTTCTTGAATAAGGACCCTAATTCAGCTAATCAAATGCAAGATAAAGAGTTGATCATTTGGATTGGATGTGTTGTAGCAGGGGTTACTGTGGTGTGTTACTGTGGGGAAACCACTAAATGTCTCAATTTAAAGAAAAGGACAACTTCAGTTTCTCCCTAATGGAATTACCTGTGTTTCAGGTGCATTGGAAGAAGGTGCTTCTAGAAGAATCAGAGAATTATACGCCAAAGTCAGAGAATTAGAATCTCAGCTCAGGGACCTGACTGCTGCAAACCTACAAATCAAAAATTGTGTGCAAACAATTAAGAGTTCAGATTTGACATCCATTTTCCACCAAAGAAGGTCTTTTGGATCTTTTGGGAGTTTGTTGCCCACTCAGCATCAAGGAACAGTTGAAGATGTCAGAGTTGAGGATGTCATTGAAATTGCGAAAACAAGTCCAAGCCAGCATTTGTGGATGAGTTGTTCATGTACTGCTACCGTCTCGCAGTTGGCCCGAAAGAAAAAGGTCCTAGCAAATAACTTTGGTGTCAGCACTTAAACTGTAACCAAAGTGATCATGTGGTGGCCAACTATTTGTACCTTGTCTTGGGCTCAATGCTAACCTGGATGTCAAGGGAGCAGGTCTAAGGAGGCTTTGGGAGGCTGGAGCATCTGAGATGAATAGTTACGCTAGTAAGCTGAGAGCAGTGACAGAATTTCCTTCATCCAAAAAGCTTTCTATTATGAAGATTAAGTAGAAATGAAGAAAAAGTATCTGAATTTACAGTGAGTGAATATAGATGTATACAAAAGAACAACAGGACATACCGTAGTAATAAAAATTTTAACTAAGAAGCCCTGTTCTTGTTGGATCTCAGAAGCTAAAGTAGGGTAAAGCTTTTGTAGCGTTAGGTAAATTACTACATGACGATGACAAAAATTCAGAGATGTATAAAAAACACTCCTATTTAATTTCTTTGATGCAATATACCCCAAACACTAAAGAGGAGACAATATAATGAATTTCAAAAGAAGAACAGATTGTAAATTTAACAGGAAAAACATTTTTTTCAGTATTACAGAAACATGTAAAAGAACATTATTAAAAGACTAAACATAGATAAAATGGTTTAAAATCAATCTCAAGAAGACAGCATGTTCACATTAGCAGGCTAAAAAACAGAGAGTGAGCGAGGGAGTGAGAGAGTTGTGAGAGCACCCACAGGCGTCTTTCCCACCTAATACAGACTTAGTCAAAGTGGTTATATCTTTATGCAAGTTAAACGTAAATTAGACAATCTATATACAGAATTACATAAACATACTGAAAATACTATAATGCAGGCTTGGATTGGATTCAGGAACAGAACTAAATACAGTGTCATTTGTGAGATTCAGTCAACAAAGAAAGTGTCCCTTGTGCACATTCTAATGATGTCAGCAAGAGTTGCTCTCAGTGAGGCCTAAAGCCTTGAACATCCCGAAATGGTCACCTTTCGCCCAGTTCTACCATGACGGAGATATCCAGTTCAAACAATCAGCTGCTGCCATGTTGGGTATGATGGATTGAAGATGGGCTTAAAGACCCTAATTTCATCTCACAGGGTCTTTCTCAAGGAACAATCATTCTCCCAGGATCACAAAAACGTCAATGGTCCTTAATATCTCTTGAAAAGAGCACAGTTCATGAGCTATAATTTGGTCTTAATGTGACTTTGAGGCATAGAACTGAGAAGAGGTCACCTGTACGATTTCTTGATGTTTTTCTTACTCCTCTGTCTCCTTTATAAAGCTTTTAATTTCTGTCCAGCACTACAAAAACTTCACTGTTACGGTGTTCAGGGTCATATCTTCTTCATTAGTCCTCAACAAGAATACTCAACATACAACATTCAGAAAACATTAAAAGGAAAGACAAAAGTGGCACCTTCATAACAACAAGCATCAACTAATTAATGTGTGGAAATCAAAAAAGGAGCGAAGCACACTGAAAAATGTTTTCAAAACATCAGATATTGCATCTGAAACACTTAATTAGCTTAGAAATACTTAATTAGAAAGCAAACAACAGTTTACTGAATGTGGCACATCTTAAGTGTTTTCAACACATAAATGAAATTTGCATTTTGAGGAGAATCTGAAGTACCACAACGTCTCATTGGGGGTATGAGCTGTAGGCTTGGTGTTCAGCATGTTAAATATTTCAGTTTATATTCATGTTTTAAAAACAGTCTAAAGCAAAAGTAGGTGGTTTCCCCTAAAAACAGTTTGAAACAGTTATTCTGGCTTTGAAATCTGGACTGTAAACTATTCCCTGGTGACTTTTACTCCCCGAATGTATTAATGTTGCACTCATTGCTGCCTATTTCCCCCCACTGCTTTTGGTGCACTTGTGCGTCTTCACAGTCGTTGAATGGCTGAAACTCTTCACACACTATGAGCAGTGATGCGGCTTCTCTCCTATGTGAATGCGTTGGTGTCGTTGGAGATTACTCTGTACATTAAAACTCTGCCCACACTCTGAGCAGTGATACGGCTTCTCTTTTGTGTGAACACGGTGGTGTTGATGGAGATGACTCTGTACAGCAAAACTCTTCCCACACTCTGAGCAGTGATATGGCTTCTCTCCTGTGTGAAAGCGCAGGTGTATTTTGAGATGATTCAGTACAGTAAAACTTTTCCCACACTCTAAGCAGCGATACGGCTTCTCTCCTGTGTGAATGCGCTTGTGCTCGTTCAGAGTAGTCTTACGATTAAAACTCTTCCCACACTCTGTGCAGTGATACGGCTTCTCTCCTGTGTGAATGCGGTGGTGGTCTTGGAGATGACTCCCTACAGTAAAACTCTTCCCACACTCCGAGCAGTAATACGGTTTCTCTCCTGTGTGAAAGCGCTGGTGTATTTTCAGATGACTCTGCTCAGTAAAACTTTTTCCACACTCTGAGCAGTGATACGGTTTCTCTCCTGTGTGAATGCGCTGGTGTTTTTTAAGATTACTCTGTACAGTAAAACTCTTTCCACATTCTAAACAGGAATAGGGCTTCTCACCTGTGTGAATGTGCTGGTGTGCTTTAAAATGACTCTGATTAGTAAAACTCTTTCCGCATTCTGAGCAGTGATACGGCTTCTCTCCTGTGTGAATGCGCTGGTGTCTTTTGAGATTACTCTTTAGACTAAAACTCCTTCCACACTCCATGCAGCAGTGAGTTCTCTCCTTGCTGCATATCTGTGTTTGTTGCTGAGATGTGTTCATGTGGAGGGTACCAGACGACGTTTGCTGAGTACCACAATGTCCTGTGGATGCCATATTTTTATATTTAACCTGTTTCAGAAGCTCAACGTCCCTCTTGGCGAAATGTCCTGACATGTTCACAGAAGCATATTTAAGCTGGGCAGGAAAGTGCAGGACAAGTCTTGAAACAGGGCATCATTCATTTCTGGAAGAACACAAAAAGACAACCTAAACTTTATGTGCAATGCAACAGAAGTAGTCTGATCCAAATCAGGAATGATCTGCTTACATCAACTGGCAGAAAGCACAAAAAATAAACTTACATGTAATGTGGAAAAGCCAGCCACCCAATTATCCAAACATTTTAAAAAGGTATATGGACTACTGAAGTTGTGTGGTCATACTGAAATTGGAAACTCTGGGGCTAAGCTAGACTTTTTGTACAATGGGATATAGCCAGTGGTATTGTTTGCAGTGCTAAAAAGAAAACATGTTTTCAGCTCAGACAGAAAAATGTTTTGGATTTTATGTGAAGGTCAAATCTGTTTTTGTTTTTTTCATTCAAAAAAATCATACTTGCTGTAAATATTGTGTTTTGCCATTTTTGACAGCCAAACACCACCCCCTTGCTACTGCTACTACAAAAGTCCCAAGGAATATATTAAATAAATGCATCTTTTTACCTCACACAAAAAAGCATGCAATTAATGATTTTATATATGACTGAGATTCCATGTAAACCACAAACATCATCATGAATATGACTATGCATCTCAACACACATTGTTCACACCCATGCTCTCTGGAGAGAGATTGAAAAGTCACAGACGACCAGTTTTCAGTTTCAATTAGAGAAGAGGTTCCGAGTTCCAGTCCTGGAGAGTCCATACTATGCACACTTGTATACTGTCTCCTATCTAGCACTGTTAACTCAACTAATTAACTGATTAAAGTAGGGACAGCACAAAACTATGCAGACAGGATAGGGAACATCTGAACTAGGCCATCAAGCTCCTGAATGGCTCTCACACACTATACCCCCCCTATAAACAGACCTCAACACCCACCATATACATTCCTACCAGCTCTTAATCCATCAGCCATTGACGACCAACCCCCACCCAGACATTCACAGCTCTCAGGAAGCTCTTTACATTGTTCTAGAACAAACTGCTGTTTTCTCAACACATTGGTACAAACAGTTCTGCCCATCTTAGATAATGTCAGTATATCGGTCTCTATTTCCACATTTATTACAGCTACACGTTCTATAGGCATGAACTTGTCTTGCACATTATTTTATAGGTGAATGGGGGATAAGATGTGCTTTATGTGTTTAGACTGACAATGGAGCAGATAGGCATGCACATAAATGACTCATCTTTACAGTTTGTTTGAAAATGAAGGAGCTGACTTGATAAAATTAGCACACAACAGAACAATATGGGGCAAGCCAGGCATCATAAAGCACTAATGTGTTTCATGTCTTTGGAACTAACTTGCCAAATAAAGCACAATGAAGTTGCTCTCTGTTTGCCAAACCCAACTAGGACAAAATGGCCAACCTAATCTTCTGGCCCAGCAGCTCACATTACCAGCTCTGATTTGAATGAAGCTGCTTCTGTGTGTCTAATCTATTTTAAAGCCATCAGGTCTTACTTTCAGACCTCAAATGCGCGTCCAGCTGTCTCAGAGTGAAGGAAGAACAATCAGTGTTAAAGTGTCGGATAGATTCCTACCTTTAATGGTTCAGCTCTGGTTTCTGTACCTCCAACAACACTGTCTGAGCGTGTGGACTATTGACCAGAACCCAATCTTCTGCTTCTCCACCTCAACGCAGCTGAAGGAATTTTTGAGTAACAGAATTAGCGCCACCACCTGGCCTGAAGCGGCTTTAGATTGTTTTAAATCCCACCCGTATTCAGTCAAGCCCCGCCTTCAGCGCTCGGGTTGGGTAACCGCAAAGATAATCCCTGGTTTATGCAACATCGAGATGCAAATTAAAAAACAGTACTTTAAATTATAATGTGCAAATAAACTGTTATGTAACAAGACAACCAGCAACAGACACACATTTATAAAACTGTAACTGTTCATGACAGGATGTAAAAACAGCCTTTTCAGAATATTCCTATAATATACATAATCATCCTAAGATATTATCATCATTCTATAAAAAAACAAAAATTCCTATCAAAATAACGTAAGATCACTTTCAGCATGTTTAGAGAACATTTATGTAATTTGAGCTAACGTTAACTATATACACTGACAATTTAAAGTTTAGTTTAATTGTTTTGCTTACTAGCAAGGTAAGACTGTCAGGGTTTACTAAAAAGCTACCTATGGACGAATACCTACATAGAAATGTGTCAATCGGTGAGTTTATGAATCGTCCCCTTCTTTAAACATGCCAACTGAAGCTAAAATCTTCCAATGGCAGAGGGAAATACAGAATTAAAGGACATAAATCTGCAAAGCCTGAAAGACATATGGCATTAACTGAGGTAAATCTGCAGAGGTTGAGAGAAATATGTTATTAACTGGGGTAAATCTGCAGTAACTGAGTGAAATGTGTCAACTGAGGTACTAGCTGAGCGAAATATGGCATTAACTGAGGTAAATCTATATTAGCTGAGTGAAATATGGCATTAACTGAGGTAAATTTGCAGAAGCTGAGTAAAATATGTTATTAACTGAGGTAAATCTGCAGAAGCTGAGTGAAATATGACATTAACTGAGGTAAATCTACAGAAGCCAAATAAAATATGTTATTAACTGAGGTAAATCTGCAGTAGTTGAGTAAAATATGCCAATAACTGAAGTAAATCTGCAGAAGCTGAGTAAAATATGCCATTAATTGAGATAAACAGGCATATGTAGTACTCATATAGAGAACGTACTCATATAGAGAACTGTATATAGCTGAGTGAAATATGGCACTGATTGAGGTAAATATGCAGAAGTTGTGTGAAATATGCCATTAACTGAGGTAAATCTGCAGAGGTTGAGAGAAATATGCCATTAACTGAGGTACATCCGGAGTACCTTAGTGAAATATGGCATTATCTAAGTTAAATCTGCAGAAGCTGTGTGAAATATGACATTAACTAAGAGGAACCTTCAGTAGTTGAGTAAAACATGGCATTACTTGAGATAAATCTATAGAGGCTGAGTGAAATGTGTCATTACCTGAGTGAAATGTTACTGAGGCAAATCTGCCGTAGTAGAGTGAAATCTGTCAGTAACCAAGTGAAATATGGCATTAACTGAGGTAAATCTGCAGAAGCTGTGTGAAATATGGCATTGACAAAGGTAAAACTACAGAAGCCGAGTAAAATATGTTATATGTAAATATATGTTATATGTAAAAATATGTAAATCTGCATTAGTTGAGTTAAGCATGCGATTAACTGAGGTAAATCTGCAGTAGTTGAGTGAAATATGCGATTAACTGAGGTAAATCTGTAGTAGCTGAGTGAAATATGACAATAACTGAGGTAAATCTGTAGTAGCTGAGTTAAATATGACATTAACTGAGGTAAATCTCTATTAGCTGAGTGATATATCCCATTAACTGAGGTAAATATGCAGAAGCTGAGTGAAATATGCCATTAACTAAGGTAAATCTGCAGTAGCTGAATGACATATGCCATTAACTGAGATAAATCTGCATTACTTGAGTGACATAGGAAATTAACTGAGGTAAATGTGCAATAGCTGAATGAGATATGCCATTAACTGAGGTAACTCTGCAGAAGCTGTGTGAAATATCGCATTGACTGAGGTAAATCTACAGAAGCCGTGTAAAATATATTATTAACTGAGGTAAATCTGCAGAAGATGTGTGAAATGTCATTAACTGAGGCAAATCTGCAGAAGCTGAGTGAAATATTACATTAACTGAGATAAATCTGCAGCAACTGAGTAAAATATGGCACTGAATAAGGTAAAACTCCAGAAGCCGAGTAAAATGTGTTATTAACTGAGGTAAATCTGCAGTAGCTGAGTGGAATATGCCATCAACTGGCATTAACTGAGGTAAATCTGCAGAAGCTGTTTGAAATATGACATTAACTGCGGTAAATCTGCAGAACTTGAATGAAATATGTCATTAACTGAGGTAAATCTGTAGTAGCTGAGTGAAATATGACATTAAATGAGGTAAATCTGCAGAAGCTGAGTGAAACATACCATTAACTGCGGTAAATCTGCAGTATCTGAGTGAAATATGCCATTAACTGAGGTAAATCTGCAGTAGTTAAATGACATATGCCATTAACTGAGATAAATCTGCATTACTTGAGTGACACAGGCCCTTAACTGAGGTAAATGTATAGCAGCTGAATGAGATATGCCATTAACTGAGGTATAGTATAGTAAAGTAAAATTAAAGTAAAATATGTTATTAACTAAGGTAAATCTGCAGAAGCTGTGTGAAGTGTGGAACTGAATAAGGTAAAACTCGAGAAGCCGAGTAAAATATGTTGTTAACTGAGGTAAATCTGCAGTAGCTGAGTTAAATATGCCATTAACTGAGGTAAATCTGTAGAAGCTGAATGAAATGTGCCATTAACTGAGGTAAATCTGTAGTAGCTGAGTGAAATATGCCATTAACTGAGGTGAATCTGCAGTATGTGAGTGAAATATGCCATTAACTGAGGTAAATCTGTAGTAGCTGAGTGAAATATGCCATTAACTGAGGTGAATCTGCAGTATGTGAGTGAAATATGCCATTAACTGAGGTAAATCTGCTGTAGCAGAGTGAAATATTACATTAACTGGGGTAAATCTGCAGAAGCTGATTGAAACATACCATTAACTGCGGTAAATCTGCAGAAGCTGAGTGAAATATGCCATTAACTGAAGTACATTTGCCGATGCCAAATAAAATATGTTATTAACTGAGATAAATCTGCAGAAGCTGTGTGAAATATGTTATTAACTGAGGTAAATCTGCAGAAGCTGTGTGAAATATGGCATTGACTAAGGTAAAATTACAGAAGCCGAGTAAAATATGTTATTACCTGAGGTAAGTATGCATTAGTTGAGTTAAATATGCCATTAACTGCGGTAAATCTGCAGTAGCTGAGTGAAATATGCCATTAACTGAGGTAAATCTGCAGTAGCTGAGTGAAATATGGCATTAACTGAAGTAAATTTGCTGAAGCCAAGTAAAATATGTTATTAACTGAGGTAAAACTGCAGAAGCTGTGTGAAATATGGCATTGAATAAGGTAAAACTCCAGAAGCTGAGTAAAATACGTTATTAACGGAGGTAAATCTGTATTAGTTCAGTTAAACATGCTATTAACTAAGGTAAATCTGCAGTAATTGAGTGAAATATGCCATTAACTGAGGTAAATGTGCAATAGCTGAATGACATATGCCATTAACTGAGGTACATATGCAGTAGCTGAGTGAAATATGACATTAACTGAGATAAATCTGCAGAAGGTGAGTGAAATATGCCACTAACTGAGGTAAATCTGCAGTAGCTGAGTGAAATATGCCATTAACTGAAGTAAATTTGCTGAAACCAAGTAAAATATGTTATTAACTGAGGTAAAACTGCAGAAGCTGTGTGAAATATGGCATTGAATAAGGTAAAACTCCAGAAGCTGAGTAAAATACGTTATTAACTGAGGTAAATCTGTATTAGTTGAGTTAAACATGCTATTAACTAAGGTAAATCTGCAGTAATTGAGTGAAATATGCCATTAACTGAGATAAATCTGTAGAAGCTGAGTGAAATATGCCATTAACTGAGGTAAATCTGCAGTAGCTGAGTGAAATATGGCATTAACTGAAGTAAATTTGCTGAAGCCAAGTAAAATATGTTATTAACTGAGGTAAAACTGCAGAAGCTGTGTGAAATATGGCATTGAATAAGGTAAAACTCCAGAAGCTGAGTAAAATACGTTATTAACTGAGGTAAATCTGTATTAGTTGAGTTAAACATGCTATTAACTGCGGTAAATCTGCAGCAATTGAGTGAAATATGCCATTAACTGAGATGAATCCGTAGTAGCTGAGTGAAATATGACTTTAACTGAGGTAAATCTGTGTTAGCTGAGTGACATATGCCATTAACTGAGGTAAATCTGCAGAAGCTGAGTGAAACAAACCAATGACTGCGGTAAATCTTCAGTACGTGGGTGAAATATGCCATTAACTGAGGTAAATTTGTTGTAGCTGAATGCGATATGCCATTAAGTGAGGTATGTCTGCAGAAGCTGTGTGAAATATCGCATTGACTGAGGTAAATCTACAGAAGCCGAGTAAAATATTTTATTAACTGAGGTAAATCTGCAGTAGCTGTGTGAAATATGTCATTAACTGAGGCAAATCTGCAGAAGCTGAGTGAAATATTACATTAACTGAGGTAAATCTACAGCAACTGAGTAAAACATGGCATTAACTGAGTTAAATCTGCAGAAGCTGAGTGAAATATGCCATTAACTGAGTTAAATCTGCCGTAGCTGATTAAAATATGTCATCAACTGAGGGTAATTCTGCAGTAGCTGAGTGAAATATGGCATTAACTGAGGTAAATCTGCAGTAACTGAATGACATATGCCATTAACTGAGGTAAATGTGTAGTAGCTGAATGCGATATGCGATTAAGTGAGGTATATCTGCAGAAGCTGTGTGAAATATGGCATTGACTAAGGTAAATCTACAGAAACCGAGTACAATATATTATTAACTGAGGTAAATCTGCAGAAGCTGTTTGAAATATGACATTAACTCATGGTAATTGCAGTAGCTGAGTGAAATATGTTATTAACTGAGGTAAATCTGTAGAAGCTGTGTGAAATATGGCATTGACTAAGGTAA